TATAACTAGTATAGTTAAATTGAAAGACGCAAACTGATAAAACTGTAATTATTGGAAAACTAATATGTGTCATCTGTCATTGTTTTGTTTTAAACAAATAACATGAGCCACCTATGACTGCATTTTTTAATAACATTTGATAAAAATACGGTTCGTCTCTGTCCCTTATAAGATTTACTATTGTACAATTTTTTTTCTGTAGTTGATCATTTGTTTTTTTTTATAATTTATTGTTTGTTAGTTAGTATGTGGTGTGAATAAAGTCATTATAACAATATTTTAAAAGAATATTTTGTCTCGGTGTGATTTAGATAAAATAATATATTTTCCTGTTACACCATAAATTGCATATTGAAGTCGACATATCTCAAAAACAAGTAAATATAGGGAAAAATTTTATATTACAAAAATTACTGAAAATTTAACAATTTTTCAGATGGACTGCATTTCCACGTTCCAGGGAACAAAAAATTTTTTAGTATCGCCACGCCATCTATACAGAAAGATTTGAACTAAAGATTTTAACTACAATTTAAAGCTATTCGAGGGATCTAACAGCCCCAATTTCCGAAACTAAAATAAATTTCTTCATTTCAGAGATATTGGTAGCGGGAGTGTTAAATGGCATACCCTGTATATGAGATTAGTGAAACCAATATGCACTGGCAAAATTGAATCAAACTGGAAGTTGAACAAATGAATGAGATTATCACTAAAATATTTCTAATCTGTTCCAGTTTTGCATTTTTTTCTTAAATTATAATTTCCTTTCGTCATATATTTTAATGTTAAGTTGTTTTTGGGATTACAGCCAATTTTTTGTCGCTTTATGTTGTTCATTTTCTGTAACCTAAGTTATTTTGTTTACATTGCAGCGTTTTCTGGTGAAACGAGATAAAGCTATTTCGCTAAAATAAAATTATGTTCATATTTTTTTATCTGTGACCGACAATTTAGAGGCCAATATGGTTTTAGGACTTTTTTCAAAAATACTCCTTTGAATATTTTTAGAAGGGACACGAAAACATTCCTTTGACTAAAGATCTATGGAGGTTCATTTTCAGTGAACCTCTTACTTTCACTGTTTGGGTAAAAATAAATTTTCGATATCGACATCACAAAATCAGCATTGCCGAGACATGGAAAAAAAGTGGTAGCAAACTTTGAACAAAAATATGCTCTTTTCCTTTCTCTGAATGTACCATCAGTGGACAAAACTTGTATAACACACAGTGAAGAGACATTGTTTCTAACTTGCTTAGATTACCCTCGTCAGGACAAGACTGCTATAAATTGACTGAAAATTACGCTTAAGGTGGCCATATTCCCGGCCGAGAAATAGTGAAATTTCTGGCGTTTTTAGGTACTGAAATCTTTGAAAGTAAAACGTGTAGAACAAAAGTAAGCACAAAAATAAAATCCTTGATGTTTTGTTTATTCATTGTTACCATTTAAATTTACTCAAATAAAATAATAACTAAAAAAAAGCGTTTGTAAAACATGCGTTTGCTGTTATTCTAACCCCACATTTTAAGAATTATTGTTTACTTTTAT